TTTTTTCTTCCCTCTTTTTCCTTTTTTTTTCCCCCTTATTCCACCTTCCGTTTTCTTTCGGGTTTTATTTCAGGGCTTTTTCCCACCCCACTCACCACGGGGAGGGGGCACAAAGCAGCCCCATCTCCATCCCATCTCCATCCCTTTCCCTTGGGGGGGCCGTAGGCACCCTTTTCTCCCCTCTCCCTGTCCCGTTCCCCCACTGCAGCGTCGCCCCCGGACCCCCGCATGCCCAGATCTACCCGGACTCCCCCGGACGGGCAGCGCTGAGGCTGATCCTGCCTAACAATCCCAATTCGGAGCGGTTCGTGCTGACACAACGCTTTATTTCGATGTGCTCTAAATTGTCCCCGCGGGGAGAGAAGGAAAACTGCGCTAGGGGACACCCCCCCGCCTCTCCCCTTCCGTCCTGTGGTGTTCGGAGGTTGAGAGCTCAGGGGGGGAATCGGATGGGGACCCTTTTTCCCTTCTGGCTAAATGGGGCAAGGATTCCTTTGCTCGTGTTTCCCTAAAGCCCAGCGGCTGCGGAGTGGAATTAACGGGAAAACCATTAAGAGAGGAGCTCGAGGACTGGGAGGCACTGGGATGAGGCAGCAGAGAGATGGGAAGGGTGGGAACATGCAGGGAAGGACTCCGGAGCCTTCCAGCATCACATTTGCCCCCAAATCTCCCCAAACCATCATACGGTTTCCAAGAGATCTGAGCGCATCTTAGCAGCGAGGAATCACTGCACAGCAATCACTGAGCAGCAAAATTATAAGAATAATAACATCAGCAATAATAATACCAACCAAACCTCCTAAATTCCACTTTCTTCTAGATCTTTGAGGTTTTCTTCCTTCATTCCCAGATCCTTCTTTTTGCTTAAATTCGGAGATCCATGTGGTTGGGGTGCTGGAGGTGAAGGCTGTGTGTGGGTGATTCCATCCCTCGGGGTGTTCCCACCCCTGTGGGTGCTTCCATCCCCATGGGTAAGATGTGGGGAAGGGGATTTGAGGTTTGGGGTACATTGTCCTACAGCAAACCCAATGTTCCCTGTGCCTCTCTGGGCTGTGATTGCCACGGGTGCAGCACCCGCTGGTAAGAAAGTCAGAAATGAGGCATTACCCAAAATTCATGCAACAGATCGCAAAAACAAAGGATTTCTTTTCTTGAATTTCCACTAAATATCATAGGAAAAACTCATTTAAGTTATCCCAGGGGCCCCTTTCCCATTTGACTCCCTCTTTGGAAAGTCAGAGGCAGCAGGACTAGGTCGGAATCTCATCACGTTTTGGGTTTTTGGGGCCCCGTTCCCAATTTATTTCCCTGTTGGCAGCAAAATCATGCTGGGTTCTCACTTTCGGGCTTTTCCCTCTGCAGGACAACATCTGCTCTCCCAACCCTTGCAGACAGACCAGCAGCAAACTGAGCCCTGCCACCGCCCCAAGCAACCGCAGCGGCGCAAACCCCGTGTTTTGTTCTCCCAAACTCAGGTGTCGGAATTGGAGCGGCGATTCAAGCAGCAGAAATACCTCTCTGCTCTGGAAAGGGAACACCTGGCCAACGTGCTCCAGCTCACATCCACCCAGGTGAAAATCTGGTTCCAGAACCGGCGTTACAAATGCAAGAGGCAGAGGCAGGATAGATCCCTGGAGATGGCCACCTACCCACTGCCACCACGTAGGGTGGCTGTTCCGGTGCTGGTCAGAGATGGCAATCCTTGTTTTGGGGGATCCCAACCCCACCTGGCTCCTTATGGGGTCACCGTCGGCCCCTACTCCTATAGCACCTACTATGGTGCCTATGGGGTGAGCTATGGGGTGGGCTACACTGGGGTGCTCACACCGTGAGATTGGGCTCAGCACCAGTTGGGATGTGGCCCAGGAAAGGGATGGGGGCATCTGGAGCCGTAATGGACAGCAGGATGTGGTGCCTCCATCCCCACCAACCAGCCCAAGGAAAGGGATTTCTGGTGCTTCAGATCTGGGGACCTCAGGACCAGAGGCATTTATTTATTAGGACACAAACACAGATTCTATCCCATCCCACCCTATAGGGATGCTCCTGTGGGGTGCTTAGGGATGGGATGCTGCTCTTCTTCCTAAGGAAACAGGGTCTGTGCACACCACTGTGCCTTTGCTTTTCCATGAATGCTCTATTTAAGGCTTTGAGTTCCTCTCATCTTTTGGGATATCCGTATTTCTTAATGACTTACCAGCGCAGGTGTTCATTTTTGTCTTGATGATGATTATTATTTGCAATTAAAAAAAAAAAAAAAGGTGGGAATACGTGTTTCCCCTCTCTCAGCTTTCCCCTTTCAGCATTTTAACCTCTCCATCCACAATTTGCATCTGAGAATCACATCTGAAGCAAAAAAAGTGTTGGTGCTGAGCCAGCAGGGACCCAAACCCACCAGCACTGAACGCTTTGCTGGACCAAAGGACCATACATGTACATTTCTATGTACATCTCTCTTTACACGTATTTCAGCCTGGGAATGAGACTTATGAAGTATTAAGATGTCTTTTATAGTCCTGTGTATCTTTGGAGTGGTTTTCCCAAAGGCTGAGGTCAGGAGATGCTTGAAATCCCAATGTTTGTGGGATTGCTCTGCTCCGTACATCCAACATTGCTTTGAATGTCTCCTGTTTCTTGCCCAAATTAGAAACTGCTCAACTGCAAAATGAGGCAGATCTCTCCCGCAAAACCCAAATCAGCCAAAATTTAATGCAATAAATGGCCATGAAGGGGTCCCTGTCACTGCAAACCCGAAACCTCTGGCTTTGGACCAGTGTTATGAGTTATTCTGCAGTCAGCAGTGAAAGGAAAAGAGGATTGAGCCAGGCAATGAGGGCAGACCTATGGACAGATGAGTTGAGCACATGAACAGCTCCAACATCACCAGGATTTATGGTCCAGCTGCAGGAAAATGCAATGAGCATCACTGGAACAAAAGGACTCACTGGAAAGTGGGACATTGCCCAGCTTTTGGGTGGTTCGTGGGTTTTGTTCTTGTGTGCAAGAGCCCAAAATGAGAAGATGCATATTCTGCAGTATCACACCATCACATCACAGAATATCCCAAGTTGGAAGGAACCCATGCAGCTCCTTTGGCCCAACTCAAGGAGCCACCCAACAACAGAATGCAATCATGATAACACATAACATCACATAACAGTATTCTGCAAACCTACTGAGTTTTTATTCTTGAGCTTTTCGCTCTTTTTTTTTTTTTAATTACTATGATCATTACCATCATTACATTTATTTCACATCAGCATTGCTCTGCATCTCATGGTCCACACCCAACGAGGAATCAGCCTGGGGCTTTGGGTTGATTTTCCCCACCTTCCTGCACAACGATTTGATCTCTCCGTTGCACCTCCACCTTGCAAAGCTGATTAAAATACATTGTTTGCCATTTTTTCCAAAGGGCTTTGAAGAAAACTCTCAAAATAGACAACCAGCATTCCCCATTCTCCAGCATTCCAGGGTTTGCCCTGGAGGTAAACCGCATCCAGAAGCGAAGCACATGGAGCATCATTCCACTGGGATTGGGGTGGGGATGCAAAAAGTGTTCTGCTCACCCATCCAAGGCAGCACCATCATATCCTAACAACTCTATTTTGAACCCCCAAAACCCTGCATTCACCCCAAAAAGATGAATTCCCTTTGGGCACCTTGCTTTTAGAATTAAGAGGAGAATAAAAGCCCTGGGGTTATCCCAGCAGGGTTCGATGGGGATGGGCGTCCTGAGCAAGGCAGCAGAAGGGATTTTTTGCTGTGCTTGGGCAGAAATCCTGCAGAGCTGGGACACCAGCAAAGGGCGTAGACACGTCCCAGTCTCCAATCAGGCCCCGGAGGTTTGGCCATGGGCCCAATAAATGCTGAGCTGGAGGGTGGGGAGGCACTGAGCCCGCGGGCAGCAGGAGGAGGAGGAGGAGAAGAAGGAGGATGAGCACCGGGGTGCTGAGCCCTGGGGGGCACAGAGCTTCCAGCAGCCCCCAGCAGACCTCATCCAGACCTCGGACGTCCTTCCTCATCCAGGACATCCTATGGGATGGGGTTGAGAGGGGAGCACAAATGGATCAAAGCGGGATACCAGAGGATGGGGAGCAGCAGGATGGCCCTGCAGTATCCCCAGCACAGCCCCACAATGCAAATCCAGGTAAGGGGGGGTGTTGTGGGATGCTCACCCTTAGGGCAGGATGAGGGTTCAGTTTTGAAGTCCCTCAACCTCAATAACCCACGCATAACCAAGTTACCCAGGCTTCAAATGCAAGGAGCATTTGAGAGAAATGGCAACTGCATGCAAGGCTTTCTTCAGGCACTTCAGATAACTCAAAGCACTGGAGCTGCCTGCACCTTTGGTTAACAAAAAGCCCAGAGGGTGCATTTCTGCAATAGCAAGCTTAAGATTCCCTTTAATGCAAATGCAACCCTTGGTGCAGCTGTTGGGTGGTGCTGCTGCAGCTGCATTCGCCATGCACTGATTGCAGGGCTCTGCTGCACTTGCTGTTTGCTTTCCTGCATGCTCAGCACCAGTTGCAATGCTCTGCTCCCAGCTGTTGCATTGCAGACTGTTTGTATATGCTGGTTCTCAGCTCCAGTTGCAATGCTCTGCTCTTTTCTGCTGCATTGCACATACTGTGCATTATGCATATCAGCCTTACTACAGAAGCAACCCCAGCAGCACCTCCTTTTAGCATGCAGTGGCTAAATTTGCAGAAGCAGGGTGCTACAAATTGCATGCAATCGCATGAAAAGTCAGATGCAATGCAGCTTTGAGCTGTGCAATGGGAGCAAAGAGCAAAATGGAGCTTGCTAAGGGAGACCTTGCCAGGGGAATTTGGGCTTTCTGTGTCGCTTCTATTAAAAGAAGCTCCTACAAAAAGTGAGTTCTGAAACATCCTCCCAGGTGGCTATTAAGAAAAATCATTAAAAGCCTTTGGAAATCACCCAGAATGCAGCTTGGGGATTTCAATGGGGCTGGAATTCAGCCCTTTGTTTTTCCATCTCGAGTGTTATGTTCACTTCTTAAGAAAATAGACTCAGAAGTGACAAAAGGAGGAAAAAAAAAAGCAAAAAACCAACACAAAAACTGGCTGCAATCCACTGGGAGGAAAAGAATTGCGGTGTAAATAAAGGGCTGGAGAGGTTTGCACAGCTACAGGTGATGCTGTAAAAATCCCAATAGCATGTTGTATGCAACAGCAGCACCTTGAGATGTCACCAGCAGTGCAAAATGGCCCTTTTGGGGATTGGTTTTTCCTTGTAGGAACTAAGAGAGGGGGGTGTTTGGGAGAAAACAGCTCCCAAATGGATGAGAGTAATTCCATCAAGCGGAGAGTTCACTGTGGATCTCTGGGGCAGTGGGGATGTTTTGCTCTGTGGAAGGATAGGAAAGGAAAAAAGTAGGGTGATGAAGATTTGGGTGATGGAAAAATGGGAAAACAACTTATTTGGGCGATGAAAAGAGAGGAAATAAATGACATGGGTGGTGAAAAGCAAGAGAAAACGTGATTTGTGAATATTTTGCTCTATGGAAAGGAATGGAAAACAAGAAAGGTGAGGAAATCAGTGATGGAAAAATGACAGAACAAGTGACTTGGGTGATGAAAATGGAGGTAATGAATGATTTGGGTGATTGAAAGCAAGGAGATGAGGGGTTTGGGCAACTAGAAAGCAAGGAGGAAAGTGGCTCATGAATGCTTCACTCTATGGGGAGAGATAAGAAAGAAAGGAGGAAATAGGCGGTCTGGGTGGTGAAAATATTGAGGGAAGAAGCAATTTGGGTGATGGAAACCCAAAGAACCCAGCGGTCGGGGCAGTTCCCAGCGGGCGACGCTCAGTCCTCTCCCCTTACAGATGCTGAGACCCCACCATGCAGCCGTGACCCCCCCCAGAAGGTGCTGCCCCGACCCCCCCGGCCAGCAAAGCGCTCGCGGGCAGCCTTCACCCACAGCCAAGTGTTGGAGTTGGAGAGGAACTTCAGCCGCCAGAAATACCTGTCAGCCCCCGAGCGAGCCCACCTGGCCCAGAACCTGCAGCTGAGCGAGACGCAGGTGAAGATCTGGTTCCAGAACCGCCGCTACAAGACCAAGAGGAGAGCGGGGGGCTCTGCGTTGGAGGTCGGGACCACTCACAAAGCATCCGTGCTGCCCCCAGCCCCACTGCTGGCCGCTCGCTGCCTGCCCTGCTTGTGCTACTGGAGCCCTGCTGCCTGGTGAGCGCCGTGCTTGGTGTGTTTTCCCCTCAAATGCTGTTGTGTTTTTTTTCCCCACCCCGCCTTGCCATGTTGCCCTTGGCCGTGTTGATTCAGAGATGCGCCGTCAAGTTCAAGTGATGCTCTGTGTCCTCTAGTACAGCGCCAGCCTCTGCCATCGCGAGGGTTTTAGCCAAAGAATCAGAAGTTATCAAAAATTAAAAATCCAGATTATTATTATTGCCATTATTATTGTTGCTATTATTAATAATAAAACCCCAAAGCTTTTGAAAGGCTCGATCTGCAGCGAAGAATCCCACGCGATGCTCAGCGCCCTCTCATTGCATCACCATCCTTTCTCACTGCCAGCTTTCAGCCAGAGCAACAACAAGCCCTACAAACTAAACGTCCCCAAAGCTTTTAACAGCACCTGCAGTGATCAAACACTGCATGATTTTGGGGGCAGAAAGCAAGAAATGGTGTATGCCTGTAAAGGAATAATTCCCCATCCATCCCTCTGTAAGTAATTCTTTGCTCCCTCCCCCTACCCCCACCAACTGGGGGAAGCACAACAGCTCACCCCATGCACCAGCTACTCCATCATGTGATTTTTAGTTGTTATCTTTAAAAAAAAAAATCTGCATTTCCATCTCCAATCCATCTGTTGCATATTTTCTCCTAGGTTTCTATATGTGTTGGGTTTATGGGGCATTCAGCCCCACCTTGCTGCAAGCAATAAAGCCCCTCAGGTTCCCAATGGGCACAGAGGTGCTGCTGGGGCTGCCCGATGCCACCAGTGCCATTGCAGAGTGGGAATCCGTGCCAGCAGGCTCCAGGAATGGGGACAATAGCACAGTGACAGATGGGTTTTGCATATCCGGGTGCTGCCACTGCTGGAACGCTCACATACAGTCTGGTTAAAATAGCAACAGCTCAAAGAGTTCAGCTTCTACAAACCTCCCAGGGCCAAGGCTGCAGGGTGACAATTCTGCTTGCAAAGCTCGCTCACACACGTAGCAAATACGGAGCTGCGGGGTAGGAGGATGGGGCAGGGAATGTGCAAAGCAAAACTTGAGGTGGATACTCAGTTGCCAACGCCGTAAAAGCTGTTGGCTCTGCTTGGAGGACAGCGGTCTGAACCATCCCAAAGTCACTCCTACCTGCTGATAACGCTTTCTCCCAGCTCCTGCTCTCGGGCTGTGTTGCAATGTGGCTCCTGCACAGCCCTGCTCTCATCCACTTTGCTTGGAACAAAGGAGTCCTTGTGCTCCTCGAGGGGAGGACACCCTGCAGAATCCACCCTGGGGTGCTGCTGAACGCAGGGACACGATGCTTGCACCCTTAGAAAGAACGGGATGGGGTTGATGCCACAAAAAATCTACTGCTGTGTTGGGAGGGACCAAATTGACCCCATTTGTCATCGATGGGAAACGTAGATTTCAACTCAACTTCTTGAATGGCTCATTGGGAAAAACTTTGTCCTCCTTGTGCCATAGCTTTTTTTCCACGTGTGGTTTCAGCCCCTTAAAACATCCCTTTGTTGCTTCAGCACCCAAATGCTCCATACTTAACTTCGCTGATACAAAGCCCAGTGCACATAGTTGCTATTTTTTGTACATATTTTTTGATACTGTTTTATCCCATGCGTGCTGTCCTCTGGAATAAACAGCTCAGAACCTTTGTTAAGAACAATCTGCCTCAGTCGGTTCCTTGCTCTGGGTTTGGTTTTTCTCACTAGTTCCTATTTCTGCCATGAAATCACCACCATCTTCTCAAACAAATATCTACTGTGAATGTTGCACCACTGTCACCATTAGCAAATCACTGCTCATCACTGTTCCTACGTCCCCAGCACCAAGCACTCCCACATCACTCATCCATCATCCCGTTAACTGCCCTTCATCTGGTGAGCATTATGCAAGTGACCATTCCCCCAAAAGGAAGAGTGAAACACGTTCTTATCACCCCTAATCTTCATGCAATCCCACAGTTTAATCTCAGTCACCATGGCCTCCAATTTTTGGTCCTAAAGCACTGCCCAGAGCTCTGCTCCCAGGTTTGCTTTCTGCCCTAAGAGCCCAAAGCGATGCCAGGGAGATGCCCAAGTCTTGCAGTTGGGCTTTGTCCTTTCTTAGCACAAAAACAAACTCTAGGAATCATAGAACCCTTAAGGTTGGAAAAGACCAGTATGGTCATCAGCTCCAACCATCAGCTCACCCCCTCCATGCCCATAGAACCACAAGATTGTGGTTGGAAAAGACCTCTAAGATCATCCCCGAGTCCAACCCCAACCCCAACCCACCCCCACCATGCCCAATAACCACGTCCCCAAGTGTCACATCTCCACGTTTCCTGAACACCTCCAGGGACGGTGACTCCTGAACCTCCCCTGCCACAGCTTAAGGCCACTTACTTCTCATCCTATAGGGCTGTAATCTTTTGATGACCAAATAACCCAAGAGTATCCAAGCACCAACCCCAATGGGAACACCATGGCAGGTTTCCTGGTGACAACCAGCCCCTTGATTCATAGGGAAAAGGAAAATCCCACCCAGCCAATGGAAGCACAGGGTTTTAATCAGCCCTAACAAAAAGGAACTCCTGTTTGTGCGTGGCCAGAAACAGAAAGCATCATTTAACATCTGTCAATTAGCCTCACGCTCCGCCGCGAACGCATCCATCAAGATTAAACTCTGCCTAATGCTGACATAACTTTTTAACTCCCCTGTGCCAAATCATTTATTAAAGCTTAAAAAAAAGCACACACACACACAAAAACACAGAAAATAGGGTTGCCTTTGGATAATGTAACTGCTGACTAACATTTGCATGCAATAAACCACATACTTGGCAAGAATGCGTGGGACTGAGGCCAACAACAACCTTAGTCTTGACCTATGCAACGTTTGCAAAGCAGAGCAGTGGGAATGGTTCCACTGCAGGAGCTGTGAGCAGGGAATGCAGAATGCAAGGATGCCCAAGTGTTATCAGAGCAGCATTCCCCCAGTCTTGGTACCCAGTTATGAGGAAGGTGCTTCGGAGGGGAAAACAGCAGATCTTCTGTGGAGTGTGGATGCTCCCCGAGGAGAGAGGTGAGCAAATCCACAAAGCACCAGGATTTAGAGCTCTTCAAAACCCTTGAGGATATTCAATATTTACTATTCTTATGCTGGATGCTCTTGTCATCCAAAGAAACACTTAATCTCCTTCTAATCCCACTCTGCAGCAAGGATGTCTCGCGGCAGGCACGGCGCAGCCCACACTCAGAGCTGCCCCAAGGCAGCCCCAAGGTGCCATTGCTGCCACCACAACATGGGACGCGCTGGTTCTGCCTGCCCTGGGGAAATGAGAACTGCTAATCACTGCGACATGTGAGTTTTGACTGCAGCAACAGGATTTCAGCTCGCCCAGAGGGACGCTCCATGCACGGTCTGTGTGGTCCAGGCACCTCGCAGGGACCCAGGTGAGTGATGGAGGCATAGGAAGAGTTGAGTGGATTTTCACCACAGTGAAGAACAGAGAAGGAGAGAAAATGAAAACAAACACCTATGGTTTTTTCTACTTTTTTAGAGCCCTTTGGGATGTGGAAGAACACAGCTCTCCAGATTGGCCCCCATGGCATTCCTGTGCAAATCTCCTTCATTGTCTTCCACAAAAAGGCATCCAAGGCACATTCCTCCTTTCTTCTGTTATGGACTGAACACGAATGGGCTACATTTGAGTTGGAAAGCTCCAGATTTGGAGGAAAAGTGAAAAGAAAAAGGGTTTCAGAGCCATATATTTGGAGTCAGAGCTCTGGCTTTGTTGTGTTATCCCAAAAAGAAGACAGTGGGGGCTAAGGGGGCACCATGTCAGTTCTTTATGGCCCCACTTGGACATCCAAACCACTATAGCACCCAAAATCCCTCAGAGGGCATCTAGGCACTTCATTCAAAAACATGTTCCAAAGCTATCATGTTGTCTCTCTATGCAGAAATCACAGCCTAATAGTAATGAGGGCTGATAAGGGAGGTAATGCTCATGCTGCAGCAGTGGCTGCTTTGGCTCAGTTCTATTCCCACTTTTTCCTTTTCCATTGCCGTGATCTGGGGTCCAAAGAGCCAGCACCACACACGGGCTCCCCACCAACTCCCTGTGCTCACAGCTTTTTGCAGCAAGCAGCTTGGAGGAAAAGCAGATTATTTCTCAGCCCCAGGCAGTGCAACCTCTGAGGGCTCAGTCAGCCCGTTTTCCCTGGGAATGAGCACAAAGCATGGCTAGAAGCAAGGAAACACGCTGCTCTGGAGTTTCCTGTGGTACTTTCCCACCCATTGGCAGGTGAACACAAAAGGGTCCTCCTTGTGCCATGGCGGAAAGCAGAGGGATTAGGGCAAGCCTGTTTGCAAACACAGCCTGGGTGGGGGCAGCCAGGGCTGCAGGGTGCTGTGTTGGAGATGTGTGGGGTTTGCACAGGGCAGAACTGCTCTCAGGTCCACCCAGCACAGCTTCCTCTGCGGGAGGATGTCCGAAAGCTTTGCAAACACTGCGGTGCCAGCAACAGGTTTTGCAATCAAACGTGTTTTCTAAGCATTGGGTCTGAAGCAAGCAGAGCATGAGCTCCATATACACCAACCTGGTATTATGAATCCCTTATCTGGCTGCTGGGTAATGGCATAGATGAGAAATGTAGAATCATAAAGGTTGGACAAGACCACCAAGGCCATCATCTCCAACCATCAAGCCACCTCCACCACGTCCGTAGTGTCACAGAGTCATTAAGGTTGGAAAAGACCCCCAAGGTCACCAAGTCCAATCCCAACCCAACCCACCATGCCAACAGACCGCATCCCTCGGTGCCACATCTTCACAGCTCTTGAGCAGCTCCAGTGACAGCGACTCCATCACTTCCTTGAGCAGCCTGTTGAATTCATTACCACTCTTGCAGAGAAGAAATTTCCCCTAATATCCAATCTAAACCTTCCCTGGCACAACTTAGAGCGATTACCTCTTGTCCTATGACTAATGATGCTGATGATGACATGTCAT